CAGCGCAGTAACCGCCGTTATCACAAAAAGCAGCAGGACCACGTAAGGACCGGCAGCCTGGAGGAGCTCTTTAGGTTCTCTTCCTTCCTTTCCACCGCCTTTGCTGTGTAACTTCCTTGCCGGGATCAGTTTTATCTTTGGAACGAGGATCTTGCGGATCTGGCCGACTTCAGCCTTAGCCCACACGTTTTTCAACAGGTGCTCAACCCTCGGGTGAATCTCCACAGGTTTCACATCCGGCAGTTGCTTCTGTTTCAAAGCTTTGATACGTCGATTCATCTCATCCACCTTCTCGAGAAAAATAAGCGGGGACTCCTCTTTTTGAACAGACGTATTCAGGGACATTAACTCAAGCTGTTCTTCCCTTATTTTTTTCAGCTTCTCAATGAGAGGCTCATACTCTTCCGAAATGCGTCTGTTCAGTTCATCCAGCGCAGTCAGCAGAGCTTGTTTCTTGTCCTCCAGGGTATCACTGAGTTTCTTGAAGTACTGCACTACCGCTTTTTTATCGACCTGAACGATGCTTTCGCACCGGGACTTCTCTTCTTTCAGCTTTTCAAGCAGCAGACACACGTCAGCCCAGTGTTTATCAGTGAGCTGCTCCAGCAGTTTCCCAGAAGCCTCCTTCTCTCTTAGGTAGGCGCTCTGGAGGTCATCGATGGGGTGCCCGTGGTGCTTCCCTCTCGTGAGGCAGTGGCCACACACCAGTTTTCTGTCCAGAAGACAGTACACGTTCAGCGGTTGCCTGTAGTGCTCGCTGCAGGTCGCCGCCTCAGCCTGATCCTCCTGCTGGTATTTCTCAATAATGGCTTTCACCGCAAAGTTGACGGGCAACGACTCGGTCCCGCCGGCGGGAATCTCAACCACGCTCCTGCAGTTGGGGCACTTCAGAGGGACTCGCAGGGGTCTCCAAACGGGGAAGCTGCTCGACAGGTGGATGACGCCTTCCAGACAGCTCCTGCAGAAGGTGTGGGAGCAGGGCAGCACGCGCGGGTCGTCGAACAGGCTGTAGCAAACGGAGCACGTCAGCTCCTCCTCGAAGCGCCGCATGTCCTGCGAAAGAAATGCAAAAGGGGAAAACCCCCATGTTTAATCTCTTCTTCCAATCAACTCATTTAAAATTGTCTTATGAACCTGACGTGTCATGAGCAGTGACCCAACCTATGCTGGCAGCTTATTGCTAAGGGGGGAAAAAAGAAAAAAAAAAGGCAAAAAAAGGAACGAAAGTGAGCAACGGTTCAAAGATGTCAGGAAATCAGGACCTAAGGGACTAGATAGTGCTCACCCACACCCAACTCCTGCCTCAAAAAGCAAGGAAAAGCACCAAGCTGCTGCTAGATAGCTTTTACAGCGGGACACAGTAGGAGAAAGCCAGAAAAGCTAGAACTAAAGTTTCTAAACAACCTAAGAATTATGAAAATTTTCTCCCACTATGAGGAAACATCTTCAACATCAGAATAGAACAACAAGAACAGAAACTTTTTTTCCTCCCCCAACATTGTTCAAACGTTATTTTTGCGATATAAACAGTCACCAGAGCACTAACCAGTCACCTTAACTGAAAGCTGGCCCTAGGTTCTGGCACAGACGAGAGCCAAACTAACTCCACGGCCTGTAAAGACGATCCCGCTAACGGTAACCAGGCTCGTGGTGTTACTCCCGGGTCACTCGAAGCCCAAAACTAACAAACTTTCGGTTTCCATCCTTTGTAACGTCGCCTTGTTTTTCTTTGCCAGCTGACTGAAATCACACCGCAAAGCCACAAATAACGATAACTCCCAACGCCACTTTCATAGTAAATCAGAATTCTGTGGCTCATTCTGCTAAAAAAAAGGGGGAAATCAGCCTGAACTTAATTTCCTCATCTTTGTGGCGCGTTCTCCCCTCCCCTTCGTCGGTTCTAGTCAACTCTGTAGGCTTTGCTACGCTGCAAAAAGAAACGGCGCAAGCCTTTGCCCTCCCAGACTCCCAGTGCAGGGGCTGACTCTGCCTCCGCACACAGCAGCGTGCAGCTGGGCTGAGGCAGCTCCGCGAAGAGCTGCTGAGCCTTCGCCCGGCTCAGGAAAAGACCTGCCCACGAGACGGGTTCGAGGAGGCTGGTTTATCCAGCTGGGCCCTCTTGAGCTTTGCCACGCAGCCACCGAGCCACCAGCCTTTCCCGCCGACCCCGAGATTAACCGCGTCTGATTGATTTTAAGTGGATCTACAGAAAAGGAATCAAATTGGCAACTCTGCTCTGGAAATACAACTTTAAATTGCATTTGGAAGCATGAAATGAAGAATTAAATTCGCCGCTCGTTAATAAGCCACTTGCAATAAATTGATTAAGCAGCGCTGTTCCTGCAAAAGGCACCATGGGAGGCAGAAGCTAAACACTCAGCCCCTGGTTCTTCGAGAGTTAAAGCAGCTCTGAGCAGGGAAACCTCCTCCCAGCTGTCCAGAAATAAGCCTGGCTTATCTCACTGCCTTGAGCCGGGCTGCACACCCGAAAGGGAAAGTGTTCTGCTCCCAAAGTCCGATCGGACTCTTCTGCCCTGTAAAACCAGGCTGAATCGTAACAATAATAATAATAATAAAAAAAAAAAAAATCTAATGGCCATCGTCACCCAAAACATCCAGTTCAATTCAGGGAAGTATCTGTACGTCGTTGGGTAAGTCAACTTTACACTGGAAGGACATTTTGATTAACTGAGCTTTAAAAACAAAACAAAACAAAACCAAAAAAACCCTATCCAACACACTTCAGGTCGTTTTTCCAGCTAATTCATACAAAATGGGGGTTCACTTATTTGAACTCCACTTTTTAAAGAGATCTTGACAACAGCTGGAAGAAAATCTACTAAAAAGAGAGATGTAATTCTTAAGAACTACCCTCCAAAAGAAGGACGAGAAGGTCTGTTTGCATTTAGAACTAACCCTTCTCCTGCTTAAAGGGAATTAATATCAAGTGCTGCAGACATTTAGCAAAAGACATTCACACCCCTTGGACACTGAATTACTTCTGCTCTCACTGCAGACCCTGAGGTAATTCTCTTTTCGCTGGGGAGCCACCGACCTTTGTTTTCCAGCTTTTCCAATCAGCCACCGTGGCAACACTGGGATCTTTAGGACTATACGTTAATAACTTCACATTTTTAAATGTGGAACTAAAGAAATGTGTCAATAATGAAGGGAAGCTGAACTACAAGCCTAGCCCACTGTCTAGATAAATTATTTAAGAACTACTTCCCATAAGAAATAGATTTAAAGGTATATATATATATATATAAAAAAGTTATTATGAATCTTGGGAATGTCACTTCCACCTAAACAAAAGAAAAAAAAAATCAGGTAAGTTTTTGCTCATGGTCAGAAAAGAAAGAATCCTTAGTGGGTGCTCTCATTCATTGTTTTCTCTTGTATACACGGACTGAATATAGTTTAAAAAATGTTTGAAATCACTATTTTTTCCTAAATCTAGGGCTGTAGTTCTCTTCAAAGGAGCTGTTACAGGAAGGAAGTTTTCTTTGTAATAAAGAACACGCCTAGGTTATTTGAGCTATGTAAAGGGCAAGACACATTAATCTTAAATTTAAAAAAAAAAAAGTTTTAACTGCAAAGTAGTTGCTTGTTTCCATAAAGACGAAGGAGCAACTTTACAAAACTTTCCTCAGCTCCATCCTGAATCGCCTCGGCAGCAGCAACCCCCAGCGCAGGCAGCGCCTCCCCCAGCAAAGCGAGGCCTCGGCCCTGCGCCAGCCAGCCCGGAGGCCCTTTCATAACCCCCGCAGCCGCTCGCCAGAGGGACCGAAATTCCCATTTCCACAGAAACACACCGCTCTGTTTCCCAGGCAACTCCGAAATTTAAAAAGCTCCAGCGGTTGCAGTTCTGGAAAGCCAGGCCGGCAGCGCGAGGGCAGGTTTCGCTTTCAGCTCGAGGGTGCGTGGGGCAGGAGGAATGGCACTTGATTTTTGTCTTTTAGTTGTTATTCATCAATTTCCAAGCAGTATTTGGGACAGAAGGAAACTGTCTCCACGTGAACAACAGCGGGGATAAATCCGGAGGTGGCTTGCAGAACCAGGCAGACCAGCAAAACCAGAGAGAGAAGACCCAGCATCACAAAGAGAAAAAAAAAAAAGTTTTCCAGCTAAAACCCCCACCCCAATATAGCGTGAAGTCGGTAAACGCTTTCCTGCCCAGAGCAGAGACTTTGCCTTCAATGTCCCAACAACTGTGGTAGCAAATCGGGGTGTGTGTGTGTGTGTGTGTGTGTGTGTGTGTGTGTACATCAGTATCTCACCGCGTTCCTCACCCAGCCACCAGGTCTCATCCAGCCAATGATGCAAGGTGTTGTTCAGAAACAATTGTAGCTGGAATCCAGCGTACCTGGGTGTTTCAGCGGAGAACAAACTCGCTGCTTTACGGCAAAAGCCAGCTGTAACAAGCCCACACGCCCCACTCTGCTCCGGAGGATCAAAAAAGGTGAATCGGGCACTGGGTAACAGCAGTGACGGCCTCTGCCGGGTTCCGAGGGGCACTTCAGGCAGAGCCTCGCCAGACATCAGTGCTGCCAGGCTCCCTGCTCCTCCTTCACGCCACTGCCAGGGAAGAAAACAACACCTGCTCCCTCCTGAAGGTCACTCAACACTTGACTTGACTCTCAACACTGCACTTAAAATTAATTCCACACCAGAAATGTTGTCTCCCCATCCATCCCAACAGAGGTCTGTGAAGTCCTCCTGTAGCACTAGCACAGACGCTGAAGTTTATTTGGGGAAAAAAAGAAAAAAAAAGAGATTAAATGACATTATAGGCAGCATTTTCCACTTGTAAGTCACTTTTGTGGTAAAGGGTGACAGAATGTAAAAAGAAAAAATTACCCAGGAGAGCGAGGTGCAGCTCTGCTATTTGTCAGTGCAGCCAAAGGGAGGGAGCCTGCAAAAAGAGATTAAATAACATTATAGGCAGCGTTTTCCATTTGTAAGTCACTTTTGTGGTAAAGGGTGACAGAATGTAAAAAGAAAAAATTACCCAGGAGAGCGAGGTGCAGCTCTGCTATTTGTCAGTGCAGCCAAAGGGAGGGAGCCTGCTCCCCCCCAGCTGCCAGGTTTGCTGGCTGGAGCAACAGGCCAGGCCCCAGGAATCAGACCTCAAACCTTCCTATCCCAGCTGGAGCAACAGGCCAGGCCCCAGGAATCAGACCTCAAACCTTCCTATCCCAGCCCGTTTCAGCTGCATGGCTTTACCCCACGCCACGCTCAA